ATCCTATATATATATATATATATAAAGAGAGAGAGAGAGAGAGAGAGAGAGAGAGAGAGAGAGAGAGAGAGAGAGAGACAAGACAAGCACCACCTTCCCAAACAGGTGCAGGTAGCTGCATGGAGGATCGGGGAAGCAAAGTAAACCTTGCCCCGTGATTCAAAACAGCATGAAACCATCACAGTCTACTCAAATTGGGGCTAAGATGTTCTGTCTTTGTCATTCAAAGTGATGCTGTTAACCCTTTGCACTCCTCGTTCATTCCTCACATAAGCCTGGTCTTTATTCAGGGAAACGACAATGGTTGCAGAGGGGCCTGTGGTTGGCGAGATAAAGACCAAACACAAGGACAAGACTCCCTTTTCTCCCTCTAATGGGATTTGGGCCATTTCTTTCGCCCTGCACTGAAGCAGAATAGGTGAGAGTTGATAATCACGTGAACTCTCCGAGCCCCCCTGTCAATCAGAAAGGCTGCTGATGAATAGCAAACAAGTGAGAGCAAGTTGCACCTCGGTGTCAATCAAGACGCCGAATGCATACCGTGCTGCAAACACAACTGTCTGCTGTCAACAGGTGTCACGTTCTTGTTTGACCTGCGGGGACATTTATCACCAAGGAATGCTCGAATAAGCCTTTGATTAAAACTGATGAAAAGCACAGGAAAGCCGCATATTTTGTCAGCAGAGTTGAGGAACACATAGAATCAAATCAAAATCAGACTCCGTCAGACATGAAGGTTATTTTATTTCCAACGTTAATATACTTGCCTTTAGGCTGACACTGACCTAGTCTTCAGCACTGACACAAATAAATACTTTGCATTACAAAATAATAAAACCTTCTAATAAATATACTTTTTTAATTCACACTAAGAAGTGTTGAAATCAGAAAATAATTTTTTTTTTAATTTTTTTTTTTGTAAGTGACTGTGCAATTGTACAAACTGAATTGCTCTGAAGCAAATGACCTGAAATGAGAAGTGATGAAATCTACATTCCAATGAAGGCCAAAAGCAGTTGTCACAGTTGGGAGTATTCTATGTACAAAAATAAAAGCATCTCACTAATGTACACAAAGTTAGTTGTTAGATTTCTGTTCTGAGAATTCGGTCAAGAAAGTATTTGACTACAGTACCACTGAGTTGAGTGCAGACCTCCACAAAGCCCCCCCCCCCACCCCCACAAAAAAATCCCATTTTGGATCAGCACCAAGCCTTACACCTTCATGGATGCCCACCTGCTGTGTATATGTCATCAGGCTTCATGCAACAGACAGGCAATAGGAACTCAAGGCAAAAAATGCTCGATCCTGTAAAGTAATTGGTTCTGTTGCGCCCCACCCCGCCAACCACTTTCATCGTCCATGTGTAATGCAGCTAAGAAACACGAAAACGTCATTGAAAACATGCAACCTCCTTGTGAGAGGTCAAACAAGTTCTGCAAGGCACAAACATGGCCTGCATGCCTTCGCAAGCGTGCGGCGCTTGTTTTGATTTTCCTTTCAAGTACGACTCATAATGCTGTTGTCATGCACCGAACGGTGCCAGCAGTAGCTCAAGGCATGGAGACTTTCGCATTCCCACTTGAGCTACAGGACTGAAACAGGACTTAAGTGGGTCTCATACTCCCTAACTCATTCGGTACGTTTACATGCAAAAATGGGGCCGATTGCAATAAAGTGATTGATTTCAAATGCATGTCAACACATTCATCTGACTGTAGTCAACATTTTCAAAACGTGGATGAACAAACCTTTATTGATTTATTTTTATTTGATTGGAAACCAAATTCCTCTTCCCATGATTAAATATCAATGCCTGCCTTCTGCTCATGTGGTTGACTGGACGCTCACAAGAGGACCGGCGCAAGCCGCGCGGGGGGCTGTGTTTGGACGCACAAGGAAATACATTTCTGCTACATCCTGACTATGAAACTACATTTTCTGAACCATGTTGACAGAGGTGAAACGAGTTTTCAGAGCGGAGAATCTACAAAATATCACCTTTCAACAGTGTGGCACGATGGAAAGCGTATCCGGCGCATCCACAAAATCAAGCGGGTGTATTTTAACACTCAAACTGCATTTTTGTATTCACAGTTGAATAGACAATGGAATACGTTTATGATCCACGACCAAAATTTTACACGAATAAACCAACATCTTCAATTGTGCCCAAAGGAAAAATCGCAAACCTGAGTGTGAAGACCAGTCACAACAACTACAGTATTGTACAAATTTAATCCAACGTCATGTATTTTATACTTTGTTTACATTAAGTATTGTTCTTTTGTACTCCTCACATGCCACCACGTACTGTGTGACCTTGCACAGCCTGGTGTTGCACTATTTGCACAAATGCATCCATTTTCCGGTATTTTCCAAAGTGTATCAGATTTTCCCCTTGTTCTGGACACACACTGCCACATCGGACTCCTTTTTTTTTTAATAATCTGTCTCTATTTGTATTTTCCGTAGTTTGTTTTTTTTTTTTTTTAGCTCGGTATTATCTTTTAGTATTTTACACATTGCCATCCATGTTCTGAGCGAAACAAGAATTTCACTCTGCGGGGTAAAACATGTTTCCCTTCTGTTCATATGAAGACTTGGCTTTGGGGCGAGATTCCAGGATGATTCTAAAATGCACAGCAACTTTTACAGGTGAACTTAATATGACCTTCTTTCAACTTTTGAATGCAAATGTCCATGTTCATCGCTGCAGTACATTTGGGCATCTTGCAGTTCCCTAACATGGAGCTGAACGGCAACATTCACAACAGGTGTTTGATCCATAAATAGGTTCACAGCTTCATTTCAAATTGTGTTTTGAAACAGTCTTCTTCAGCATGAAGACAGCATGAGACAGAGGCCGCGCCGAACAATTGATCAACAAGTGCCTCGCCTTGGAGAGGCTTCAAACAGGATGCTCTCATAGGGAAGTGGCAACTGAACTTACGAGTGTCACAGTGTGTCATCATCGGCTTGTAACAGAGAGACTGGAGGACTCACAGAAAGGCAGTCCTATACGTATCAAACAGGTGTGAATTTTCAGCTCCTTGCTAGAGAACATTAAGCTATGCAAAAGGTACGGAAACACGCAACAGTTGGACATTGTGCAAAAGTTCAGAAATGGTCAAATTAAGTTGACCTGTAAATGTTATTGGGCATTTTTTTTTCCATCCTGACATTTCAGCCTAAAGCCAAATCTCCCTAACGTATTATGAGAAATGTGGTTAGGCCAAAGGTTAATTGAACCCACTGCAAGTAGAGCCCAAAAGTAACCTGGCTGATTTTTGCATGTAAACGTAGTCACTCTCTCTCACACACACACACACACACACACACACACACACACACACACACACACAACACACACACAACACACACACGTTCTACGTTGGCTTGCTCACAGCCTGGAAGTGGATTGCGTTCTTGCACTGACAGCCGGGCCGCGTAGCTCGGTCATAACAGCTATGGCACGCCGCGACGCATCCTCGAGCTGGAAGGTAGCACAGGAGACATGGGAAGATAATGGCCAGAAAGGACACGGCGGTCCAGCGGATGCAGCAGCGTTCCTGTGTGCAAGAGAAGGGCTTGTCCGCACACGTATCCTCATCGTCGGTGGAGCAGTGGTAGAACAGTCCCTTGACACAGCACACGCACGTACAATACTCCACCGCGTCTTGTACGGAACATACACAACGCCCGCCGCACACCCAGCAGGAGGGCAGGGGCCGAGGGTGCCCGCATTCGGGGCAGCGGCACCGATTGCAGCGCTCGCACTTGGAGTGCGTGTCGGCGCTTTTACACTCGCCGCTGCTGGGCACAGCCGCTAACAACTTTGGCTCTTCATTTGCAATTTTCTCATTTGAAATTTGTGCTGCTGGTATGGGCTGGGCACTGATTATCTGGTCACCACTTCCCATGATGCCGAGGACCCTCTGACCTGAGCCAGCGTCCCTACTCTGACAGTCCTCCGTGCTGGCGGACCACATGACGTTTGTGTCTGCATGTAGGTTGTGAACATCAGTGGGCCTACTCTCTTCCTGGGTGTCCTGATGAATACTGGAAAATTGTGACGTAACTGGGTCACTCTTCTGTGAGACCGGAGTCCTCGTGGGTCCTTCTGTGTACTCATTGCGGTTCCCAGTTCTCCTCATTTCATCTAATGCCAGCGCACCATCGTGGGCTTGCCAAGGCCTCGCCTGCAGCCTCCCATCGTCCTGCAATGACCACCTGCGGTGTCCTCCTCCCCCGTCGCTGAAGCTCGTATTTCTGGGATCCATCGTGCGACTGAAGAGCCACTCGGGCTTGCATGGGAAACATCTGAAATCCTGCAAGAAAGACAGATACAGTTGCTTATACCAAGAAAACACGCAAATGATACTGTGCAAATGATAACAGACGCCGAAGTGGGCAAAAGTGACGAATTGTGCGGTGAGACAAGCCAGTGTGTCAAAATGGATTGAATGTGCGTGCATATCGTTCTTCTGTTATGTTTTGCGATATGAGTGGGAGGTTGAGGACGCAACAGTGTCCACTTTGAACAAAGGAAATGTCATCTCTTTATTGCTGCTGGACAATTTAATGGTTTGCATACTGCACGTTACTCTGCATGAGTGCTTTGTATTTAAATTTATAGCCTTGTTTTCATCAATATTTCACACCAAAGTGAAGCAGAGTGACAACACCGTGCTCTTTCTTCTGCATAGTGTTAATTGGTTTTCAAATCCATTTTTTTCTAGGGGGGTGAGGTCCACACATTTGGGAGTATGCAAGAGGCCATGTCAAGTTTGAGCAGCATGATGAAGGACCATTGGAATTTATGATCACAAGTCCAGGTACACTTCAGTTTTCCTCTTGCAATGTGGCAGTTTAAGCCATCAATGAAATGAACAAAGATGGGAAAAGTATTTGACCCCCTCACACAACTCACATCGTTCCTGTCCAACGGCAACTTCACTGACTGCCCATTACACACAGGATTTCGTACAAGATCCTCTTTGGAATTTATGGAGCCATCAATAACCTCATATATCTCGCCAACCTCTTTCACATGAACAGACCCACCTCCTCCGCATTGAACTTCCTTCACCTCCCGCTCGTCTGCTCACAATGTGGTCAAAAGCCCTCAGCCACTCTGCTCTTCCACCTTTGGAACGCTCTCCCACCTCATCTTCGGAACTCTTGACTCTCACCGCAATCAAATCATCACTCACAACATATCTTTTTAAACAGGCATACATTATATAATTGGGTTTGTTTTCACTACTTTTATTATGTTTGATTCTTATGTTTCGGACTACAGTACTTTGACGTATTTCATTGCTCATAGTGTAATATTTCATTTTATACTGCTCCTCTTACGCTGTAAGGTGCCCAAAATAAAATGCATTATTATTTTGCATTACTATTATTATTTTTTTTTGTGTGTGGTGGTGGTAGTAGTAGTAGTAGTAGTAGTAGTAGTAGTAGTAGTAGTAGTGGTATGTGACAGTAGACAACGTTAAAAAAAATGAAGGACATCCAGAAATATGTGTTGCACTCGATCTACAGCCGTTAAAAACGCTTTGTTTGACACAAGGCAAGCTTTTGTTGACAGGAGTTGGTGCCCCTACAGATAGAATGGATGGGGTAAAAACGTGGCACACAGATCTTATCTGAATACTCAAACGTGAATCGGAGTGATGCAAATACTCATGTCCTATACAAAACTCGACTTAACTGTGACTTTGTGGGAACAGAGATTAGGAGGCTGCAATGTTGCGAAGCAGGCCCACGAGTTTACTTATGAGGGAACGGGATGGGGGTGGGGTTTCAGACTTCCACCATTCTCCTCCTATGCACGCAGGCCACACTGGCAACTGACATGACTGGCAAACGGATGGCACAACAGTTCATTTACGATACGGCCAGATACAACCGCTGAGCATGTGCTGAAGCAAAAGGTTTTCTTGTTTGTTATCCCGAAACCCCCCCCGCAGTGTGCGTCTTACGTCTGTCAGCACCTGACAAACGAAACACGCCTACGTTTGTTACATAGGAAGTTATGAGTTGCAAAAACAATGCATGTGAAGGTTCGTGACGCGGCTGAAAGCATCGGATGTAATGGCTGTGCGTGTGAGAGTTTATCGAGACGTCTTTATCTCACGCTCAAATAGAGAGTCATTCAATATGATAAGTCCTTACTAAGAGCCACTTTGAAGATGTTGACTTACCGGGCTTTCAACACTTAAATATCCGTTTAGGTTTTCAAGAAAGTTTGTCCGTAAAACCAACAACAACAGCGCTGTTTATCCCATGTTTTGCGCATGCGCACTAAACAGCAACCGGGTAGACAACTTTCATACGTCGTAAGAGGGAGACAAAAAAAGACAGCTTACTCCACTTCGTTTTGCGGAAACGGAAAAAAAAGTATGCACAAGTCCCAAAGCCGACCCAAAAAGTTTCGTTTGGTAAATCCAAGAAGTTTTGAGAAGTGTTTTGTCCTCCTCGTGAATCGCTTTCCCCCTCGCGGTGTCCGGGGATGAGGTTTTGGATCGGGGCTGTAAATGTCGTCAATATGGTGGGGGAGGAGAGCGGCGGCGGTGGTGGTGGGGACAAGACAGGACAGAGCGCCTGTTGTTCCAGCGGATGTCTCGTATCCGGTGCTCAGTCATTGGCTGGCGGGTCACACACTCATTCACGGGCACTTGGATCGGTCGTAGCCCTGCTGGTCACTTGGTCGGCAGGCTGCAGCTGACACGTCGCAGCGGCTCCATCCCCTTGAACGCCCCATGCTGTAGTTACATTGGGTTACGTTGTGAGTGAGTCTTTCGTTGTTGTTTTAAAATTTCCCCATTTTTACGTTTAGGTGACAATGACACAAACACAAATTGGAAGGATCCAATGTAAATGTAAATTTGAGTTGAAAATTCCCTTTTTACTTTGTTTCGTGATTGGCCCTTTGCACCTGCAGCACTGGCCCTGATATTCTATTTACTATAAATTGAGTTGAGTTTTCAAGGTATGGAAATCACTTTATGAACTTTGGATTAACTGTGCAACAGTGCATGAATATTACTTCACGCTCACAACAAATAGCCTACACCTTAGGCCCATATGGAGAGATCAATTAAAAACCTGATTAAAACGACTACCCATTTATGCTCCCTCCGCTATTACAAACAGTTTTTATTCAGTACACCTCTTTTGATTAATGTATATCTTATCTAATCTAAATAGACCACTGTATACAATTTAGCATGGCTGAACAAACCATGAACAGCATGATAAAGAGTACTGTTTAGAAAAAAAAAAAATCAAATTGAACCATTAAAAGTATGAACCCATTTTAGGATCAAAACTGTTTTCAAAAATTGCCAATTAGCTGCTTGTTAGAACACAGCATGTCCTGACACATTGAACAGTTGGATATGTGCATTCGAAAAGTTTAGAGGTCAATATATGTTTTCAGAATGTGGGAGGAAACCATGCAGGCACGGGGAGAACATGCAAACTCCACAAGAGAAAGGCCGGAGCCGGAATCGAACCCTGCACCTCTGCACTGTCAGGTGGACGTATTAATTTATAGGCCAATGTGCCACCATGAGGAAATTCAAATGAGGAATAAAATAATTCTGCAGTGTGTTACAATAAAAAAAAATAAAAAAAAAGACTCACAAAATAAATTTTGCCCAACCACTAAAATACGTGAAATAATTTGCATTTCTTGCATCTGATTAGTTTCAGCACGAGTGTTAGATCAATATTGCTCAGTGTAATTAAAAGTGTTATGGCACCACAATCCAGGTTGAGGTCACTTTCACCCACTTCTAGGGTGACTTTAATTAATTTGGAAACAAATCAGGAAGTGCTCAGCATCTCCCTTTATTTCCCCTCTGGGTTTTCACCTCAATTGCCAACTGCTCCCTGTTATCTTTCTTCTTTATGGCCTAAAGCTGCTCAACATCAGAATCATATTTGGAAAGTGTATGCTGAATGAACACAGGTAGAAATTCATTGTTTCATAAAGTATATTTTGGATGCCATCCTGAAGGTTGGTGGTTAATGCAGACTTGAGTATTAGCATGCATTCATGCAGCACCAGTATGTCTATCAAAATAAAGTGCCATATTGTTTGTGCTTGGAGACACGAACATTGGGCCACACCGGTGTTCATAGTGCTTTGACATTTATTTTTCATTTTTTTCTGACAAGTGCTATTGGTAAGGTAGGGGAAAATGTATTATTTCATTAAAAAAACACAATCTGTCAGTCTAAAGGAATGGGAAAATCTAAAATGTTTTTTTTCCCCCCATTCTTTTTTACTTTTTAGGAAACAGTGTTTTAAAAAAAGCATAGGTCGACTTTCACCCCCCGTTGAAAAGCAAATGTGTTTATTTTCAGACGAGCTACTTTGTTGTTTGTAAGTGCACTTTAAAAACCAACACTGACATAAGCAGCACCTATCAGGGGGACAGTAAGTCTTCGTGAGGACATTTGCACAAGGCTTTCATTCCCTTCATTGGTTTGTTTTGATTTTCATTGAGCTGCCATTCCCAATTGGGCCACTAGGGACCAGTGGTGACTCTTCTGTTGTTTTTTCCTTGTGAAATGCTGGTATTTGCTGTCTGGTTCGAAGCATTCAACATTGCTGCAAAGTATGCATTTGTGGCACGTTTCCATGGTGCTTCTCTCCGAACCAGTAAATGCTTTATGTTATCTGCCAGAGCAGACGATGTTCTCTCTTGTTTTGAGGGCTCCCCTGCCAAATCCCAGCAATGTCCTTCCCAGACTCAAGGATACAAGTTTTGTTTATTGGGTTTTCACATTTTAGGCGACATTTGGGCAGGACATGAAACTCTTCCAGAAAGTGACAGTTTGCTTTGAATCTGTAACACCTCGGGGGATATAGTCCATCAAAAGAAATGACAGATAAAATGGTCTTTTTTGATTTGATACTGTCAGGAAGGGAGTCATTTAACGATGGGTCATTCCTGTTACTTTCTGTGACAATGTTTTGATCAAGACAAAATAGGCAGGTGTACCGAATGTTATGGCTGGTTTATTTGCAAAGCGGCACGGTACTGTGGAGCGGACATGTATCATTCATTGATGGTGACGTTATATCATCGCCGAAAGTTTTTGTCATGCGCCACAAGCAGTGGCCTCTCTTTTATATCTTCCACGGAGCTCTACCAGCAAATCCCACTCCTGTTGAGCCCAGAGGAAGGTCTCTGCACACCCGAAAAAAATAACAAGAGATCAAATTGAAATGAAGACGAAGTCCCCTGCTGCTTTGGGAGATGAATTGCGTCTCTATCGTCAAACAGAGGATGCCATCTCACAGTGCATCGCGTCATCGCTCACTGACTCATGCGCTGTTGCCACGTCGCCTGTGGGTGAGTGTGAATTCACCGCTGTCAGCTTGTCCCTCTCATGCTGTGACCATTTTTGGTCAACTTTTGAATTCCTTAACATGACAGCTGAATGTGGTGGAATTTACGCGGAGGACAGGTGAGCAACTCTGATGCAATATTTGAGCTCTTGTGAAATGGTATAGGCAAGTACTCTTGGTGCCAAGTGAAGCCTGGAATCTTTGTCATAACGATACAGGGTGTCCACAAAGTCTGGGTACGTGGGAGATTGGCGTGGTTCCCTCGTTTCCCCCCTTGACTTCTTTTTCTGGGGTATGCTAAAAGAGAACGTGTACTTCATGAAGATAACAGCTCAAATCACATGAGAGAACGCATTACCAATCAATGTATGGAGGTCGACAGCAATGCAGACCTTTTTCATCGAGTTCATTTGAATTTTGCAAAAGCGCATTCAATTATGCATTTGAGCACGATGGAAATCATGTTGAAAATATTATTTGTCAACATTACAATTGAATAAAATTGTTTTGTTGGAAAAAAGTATGTTTTTGTTTGTTTTTTTAAAACCATGTACATAGACTTTATGGACATTCTGTAGACACACACGCGCACGCACGCACGTGCACACACACACAGACACACACACGCACAGACACACACACGCACGCACGCACGCACGCACGCACGCACACACACGAAATTTGATTTCTTATTTTGGCCCATCACAGCAGTAGACGTAGCAAACACTGCCTACTTACATGTCTGAGGAGCAGTTTGGGGTCTGGGTGCCTGGCTCAAGGACACCACAGCGTATGTCTGGGGGAGTTGGGGGTGGATGATCTTGAGCCGGAGTCCACACAATGACAGTAAATGGAAAGGCTCCTTACCACTTGGCCATGGCTGCGGGGAAGGCAGGCAGGCAGACAGGCAGGCTATTTAACCTGTAAAGCACTGTTGCTGGGTTACAAGATGGAGCCGAAAGCCGAGTGAATAAAGCAGCAATGTGCTCTCAGCCATTGACAAGCAGCAATTATGGTGCTTTCTGCTCCCCCTTGGCAGTGGACCTGTGTCATTGAGGGGTCACTCATCTTGCAAAAGGCCCCTTTCTGTTCCACACGTACAGTAGCAATGTCCATAAAGACTTGGCTCAACTGTACAAAGCCCTGACATCAACCACGTGAAACACCTTAAAGGTAGACGTGAGCAGAGCTTGTGAGCCAGGCCCTTTGAATCCAACATCCTCAACCTCTGACCTCGCCAATGAATGGGCACAAATTCCCATGGCCACTCTACAAAGTCGTCCCAGGTAAGACGAAGCTTCAAGCAGCACATGGATTAAAATAGGAAGTCACAATAAATGATGAATAAATGATGCTTGCAGTTTAATTGCATCTAATCATCCAATGTAAATGCCATTTGCCACTTTAAATAATGTATTCCCCCTTTCTCTCCTAACTGTTAGCAGGTTTTCCAATGTACCAGTATTTTAATTGAACAGTGACAGTATGATTACAGCTGATGCGCCAATGCAATGGATTTGAAGAAACAGGTGAACTCAAGTTTTTGATTTTCATAATGTGAAAGACAATCAATTACAACTCCGTATTACCGTTGTGCATCTATAACGGTGACCCCAAAAAGGGAAAGGCTCGGAAGAAGAGGACACTGTACAATCAAGTTCTAAAGGAAGAGAGTACATTGTTGCTGTCATTAATATCGTAATGTGTCCCTCCATTCGCTGCCATCATCCATCCACCCATTTTCTGTAGCACTTATCCTCATAAGGGTCGTTTAGTGAGCTGAAGCCCATCTCAGCTATCACAAATCTCAGGGGGGGGGGGGGCATGATAGACACATGCATGTTTGGTTACGGCAAGTGTGAGAGACTCTTTTTCAATGGAGGACCTACGGTGTCTTTCTGCCCTCCTCACTTAAAGTTAAAGTACACTAAGCACCGGTTTGTTCAGTGTATTTCTTCCAAAATAACATAGCTTATCTTATTCCAATGTTTTGTCTTTTGTCTGTGTATTTTCAAGTTATTTATTTTTGACCCTAAAAACTATGCAGGGAAACTCTTTTGCTACGTTAACAAATCTGCTGTGAGAATTGTGATTGGAAGAAGCGTGCGGGTAGGCGAAACATCCGGCTACCCGTATAACAGCTTCCTATTTGTTGCCCTGGAGTATACATCCAATTGTATGTGTTCTTGAGAGGGGGGCGTTTACAGCTAACGGCAAACTCAGAGTTGAAACCTCACAAATATTGCAATGAGTTACACACAGAGGCAATGAAGGAAGCACAGCACTGCTCTGTCTGCTCATCCACGCTGAGACGCTTCGCATAACTAAACATGTACGTAACTAGAGGTAGATTTTCTCCAAAAGATTTGTGCAGAACTTGAAAA